ATTGTAAGCTTGTCTGTTTATCTAATTTTATTTTGCTAACCGTTAACCTTTTACCAGTGGTCCCACTGAGGAAGGACAGCAAACTGCGTCCGAAATGTTTGGATTACCAATTAAAAATAAACTAAACGAAGTCTGGTTTTTTGAGCCTACTCACCCTACAAACCTTCATTTCAACACCACGCAAGGCCGAAAGAAAAAGAACCTTTTTAATTAAAGATTTATGTACAATTCACATTATACAAAAGATGTAATAATAATAAGCTTAAATGGAGCAAAGTTGCCCTCTTTTATGACTAAAAAAGCGCATTTGAAATTTTTGAAATTTGAAATGGGAATTCTGGAGATAAGAGAAACAATTGTTGTATACCGGCCGCTGCTCTCAAACATAAATCAAAGACGCACCCGATGACATTATTTTGTATTTCCACCGCTACACATTACTCGAGATGTGACTGATTTGATTTAGAATTTCCAAAATTTAGAATTTCTTTGGAAATTCTATCTAAAATTGATTGAATGGTATTATTCACCATGGATTGAAAAGAAGATCACTGTATCTATGTTTTGTTTGTAGGGAAGTTGCTCAATCTTTTTTGGTTGCCAGGTATTTACACGTTTCGGCAAGTTTTACTGATCCAGCTCCTTAAAGGTAGGCCAATGAATGAATACACCAGAGGAGGAAATCACCATTTTTGAGGAATTTACAGTGGAGGTAACAATGATCCAGAAATTATGATAACAGCAAATCGCCACGAAGACGATAGGAGTAGGTCGTAACAACTATTCAGAAATTACGGTAACAGCAAATTGGCACGAAGTCACGGAAGGCTTATTTAGGATGCGTTCAAACCCCACGTTGCTTCGGCGCATTTAAATGAGTGAAAGCACTAAGCCATGCCTAATTTGTAAAGATGTCCATTCCATTTCGACGAAGAGATACCATTTGTCTTGAACTGGTTTTGACTGGATAACCTTGGTAATCAAGATTTGTTCCTTGAAGAGAAGTACTTTCCATTCTGCGCAATTGGCTAAAGCGTGCGTGTACTACTATAAACCTTTCTGCATACATTTTTCTTCCTGTTAGATTGCGCATACAAAAGCTCAATGTTTATTCGCGTAATCAAGCTCATTTCTTAAAACGCGACTGCGTAGACCGAGAATTTTCTTCAACAAAATTCTTCATTTGGTTCACCTGTTAAAAGACTCATCCGATGACGCGTGACTGCCGGTCGGACGGACGAACGGTATTCATACTTGGAAAATATCTGTCGATGTACTTGCCGCGCTGGCGTTTCTGATTCTTCAGGTAATCTTCTGAACATCCTTCATTAATTCGCAACCACCGTATATTGTCTGCCGAATTTCAGTGTCAGTCCTACACTTTGCGATTGGCGAATTCGCCCGTCTCAGCTTAAAATTGATTCCTGGAACAAAGAAAGAAGTCTACTTTAACTCAACATACTTCAAATAACTCCCATGTTGACCTATTTCCATGCAGGCCGCTAGCAAGGGGTAATTTTTTACCCTGTATATAGACTGGCCATTTTGTACCTTGAATGAACGTTTGCACCGACAAATGTATATAAGTTGGGTTTAGCTTAAAATACACGGCAAACATTGTCGAAATAATAGTTGTCATGGATTTTAAGGTAAGCTTCGCTTAAATTTGTCGGTGCAAACGGTCATAAATAGATTATGTTTCTACACGCCATAGCAAAGCCACGCCTAATTTTTTAAAATTTTAAAATAACACCTTATTCAAATAGTCAACAGTAGTACAAAGTAATTAATGACGAATGACGAATTTGCATTATGTAATTTGGTTATATGTATTCGTGAACTTTTAGCTGGAACACAACGTTTTAACACTGGAAATGTGTAGGTTTTCGTGTATGAGTACAAAGTTTCGTTCAATTCCAAAGAATTAATTAGTAAAAATTTTGATTAACACCAGGAATAAATCTTGGGCACGAATAGGCAAATCTGACATGAGTACTCTAACTGGGTCGCACAATGAGTTCGAATAAACACACAATTAGTTGATCGACAATGATAATAATTTATTCCGAAACGCATGAAACAAACATAATAAAATCCTTAAAAGAAAGAGATGCTACGCAGCCTGTTTTTTACAAAGATACCGCGCACACAGGCGATCGATCACAAATAAAGTTACTTAAAACAATCGTTTGCGATAACGGGCGCACTTAGCTCACAAACAACTGCCGATGGCTTCTGTATTTCACTTTTCTTTGGGACACACACTCGATAACAGAACAAATTGATCTGCTTAGCACAATGACAAATTTTTCGTAGCTGTTCGAATGGGAAAAAAATTTTTTAGTTAATTTTGGTGCACATGTGGTTGGCACACAATAAGCATAGTTCAGATGTCAACTTTGGTCGCAATCTGAATCCTTCATTCTCAACACTAAGTTGTAACCCCAAATTAAACTTTCTGTATCCCCTTAATATTGACGCACAAAACGTGAGGTTTGGTGCAAAAATCAGTACAAATCGAGCACAATGTTCACCATGTAAAAGTGAATAGGTTGATAGCTACATACTATTATATTAAGTTATAGCCCCAGATTTACAATACGAAATCTCCGTTGTAAAAATGTGTCTCTCATTTATAATTAATCCTGCATCGTAATTTGAAGGTCGGCAATTGTTGTATAGGTAATTGCATTCTAATCGTTCATATTTAAAACTGCCTTTACTTTGTGATTTAATTCTTTAGAGACAGCAGTATTTAAAAACTTTTATAGCAGGTTACATTGTTCTATTACAAGAAACATCTGCAGATAGTTTTGCCAGTCTCAATGAAGACAGACATTCAGGACCCACATTTACTAAAGGGCTGAAAAAGCACTGGCGATAAGATTAAACATCCCAAGAAAATGACGTTATCAAAGCATTTTTGCTATCATGACCATTATCTGCAGATTATTCAGATAGAGCTAAAAAACACTGAAGCATAACATTTATTATACGAATACTTCTCCAATGGAACTGCATGTCCAAAAGATGCACCTTTTCAAAAAAATTGTAGGTACTCTTATACTCTATTTCTGCTGGCACGCAACTGCCTGTAAATTGGAGGGTTTCTTTCAATACTGAAATCTGGCAATTTCGTTGAAAGGTCGTTCTGAAATTGTGGGTTGTATAGTAATCGGGGGTTATATCTAATCGTTAAAGTGTTATGGCGAAATAAAGCCTGTGTTACTTATTGTGCCACATATTTTTACTATAATTTTGTAACTGTTGAACACGAAAGTGACAATAACATAATGTGACTCTGTGCAAGATGGTACGCGAGCTCTCAGTTGAACTGTTTCAGTGGTAACCGTTTACTAAATCGAAATGACTGCAATACCCATTTCAAGCTTGTGTGAAATTAGAAAGAAGTGCGTTGTAAATTTCAACCGTTATGTAATTAAGGTTGTCAACTAGACCGCGACAGTAAAAAGGTTTATCGTGTTTCGGAGGTTCCAATCATTTCTCTTAAATTTTATAGCGGGTACTTTTTCGTTTTAACATTTGTTATATTTTTATACCTCGCCCATATTGTGTGTGTGTGTGCAGGCTATTTTTGGAGGTTAGTGGAACTCGAATAGTGGAAGGGTGAAATTCTTTTTGGCCTTATTAATGTTCGTGTGCATGCGATGTGTAGATTTATGGGATTTTGTCAGTTGCCTGCAAGTTTGAGATAAATGAAGGAGCAATTAAACTTTAAATCATCGTCTTTCGTCGAGATATGCTCTCCACCGAGATCGAGTATGAAGAAGTTCGTTTCGACGGAATTGGCTGACACTTTGAATAATTGTGTTGACGCGCCCCTTTCTTCGACTATCTATCTTCATCCCTTTTAGCCAATGCCTAGCTATTGCGTTACTTGAAAACGATTTGACGTGTACCAGCTCCACTTATATAGGAACGTAAACGTAATTCTTCGTTTTGCATAGGGATATATAAAAAAAAATTTAAATTGAAACACAGAATCCAGAGTTACGTCATAAACCTTAACCTTCCGCTGCGGATATTAAACGAAACACTCTGTAAATTGATTTCTTTTTACATTAACTTGATATTACAACGGTCAATAAAATTAAATTAGTACGATAGAACGCTGTTCGTTATTCCAGTGCGATAAGTTTATTATTAAGAAGAGATTTGTTATTACATTCTCTCTGCTTCGGTTCGGATACATTTTCTTTGTTACTCCACTTTACGGCCATCTCGTTAAACTCGCAAAGTGCGCTTAAAGGTCTGCATAGAACAGCGAGACTTTAACAGGAAGTAAACTTAAAAAGCACATCTCCCATTCCACTCGCAGTTAATCTCAATCGGCGGCGGTGTGCTAATAGTGGAGCGAACAAAACTTTATTTTAAAGGGGTTTTTAGTAGTTTGCGCATATGCAGCTTCATGAAATCGATTTTTTGAATTTTTTGGCACTAATAGTCGCATGGAAAAATCTCTATGTAGCTTGTAATTTAGACCGATATCAAAGGGATAACCAATTCGAAAGTAATACACGTTGACGTCGCAATCTCCTTTCACATCGCGCTTAATTAATTCGTCCTCTCATCTTGCCAAAAATCGATAAGTTCGGTTCACACGTGATCAGTTAATAACGACAAACCAAAATACAGAGTGGCGCATCTGACTAAACATATAACCCCACCGAGGGTGGCATATGTTTAGGGAAATATAGTGAATCACTATATCATATCTCACTTCCAGTTTAAGACGCGCCACCCTTCGTTCGTCTTTCGGCCAATTCTAGGTCTCGCTATGCGAACATCATAGGAAAAGCCTGGAAGCTGACCCTCTCATTACAGACATCATTTAAATATACTAACATTTGAACATGTACGCCGTCCTCGCGATACATAATCAAAAGTGTCAAAGCGGTGACAATTACATTTGACATGGTGCTGGCTATGTCCATTTTGAATTTTAAGTAATTCGGTTCATTACTAACGGAGATGTCAAGAGGGCCTTCCTTATATTTGGGCCTACATTATCAATTCACGAACTCCGATCTACAATTTGATAAAGAATCCACCGAATTAATTAATTGTTAGAATGAATCATTATTTAAAAACTCTTGTAGCAATCACGTGTATATTGGGAGGTTTTCTTGGATTCGTATTTCAGTTATTGTGTGATATCGAAGTCAAAAAATGTGCGAGCAGATGCGAGAAGAACTCTTGTAAAAGGATGAGGAGTGTACGTCCTACATGTTCCTACCGGAACCGTGTCATTATCAACTTTAGTGGTCGGCGACAGCTGGGCGCCATCCCCGAGCGTGTTATACTCACGTGGTGATTGTTCAATTTTTCCCTATCTTCATCTACAGATTTGGCCCTTTTGGTGTCGTGGGAAATATCTTGTAAACGCACGCAAGTCCTGCGTAACGGACTTTTGTTTTTTTTCCTAGAGGCGGAATTAACCACCACACAAGGCGCACGTTTTCGAGGGGTAGTCGACTTCGGACGACCAAAGGTTTCTTAGTGCTCGAATCTTGGTCTCTTTTTTTCGTGTCGCCAACAAAAGCTCGAGCTAAAAATTAAGTATCATTTTGTGAAGGGTGTTTATCGAAATCCACCAAAATGCGAATTTCGGGTGAACGGGACGTCAGAAGTGGGTACCGACAAAGAGAATGTGGTTATCTTCAACATGACCTTATTGAGGGTGCAGTCAAAACTGCCTAATAGAATACTAATCCGCCACACAAAAATGCGCTGAATTCCGTTCGATCTCGCACGAGGACTTTGATAATTTATTATTATACCTGCAATATCATTTAAAAAATAAAATGAAATGTTAGATTCGAATACATTTCCAATTAAGTGGGCTGATTATTCGTAATTCTATGATTGCCATAGAAAAGTCACTTGACGTTTGCTTATAAAAATCACAGACTGTAAATATTCGGTTGAAGAAGAGTCCATTCAGTGGCAGAAGCAGAAAAAGTTGACACTTCCAAATCCAAATGCAAACGTCTATTATAAAGAACATGAAAGGCTGTTGACGTGGATGAATAGGAAGCATATTTCAAAAAAAGTCTTAAATCGCCTATTGCACACGAACGGTTAATCGAACGACCGACTATTTCACCGATCGGCATACTGGCATCGTTTTGAACGCAGTACCGGCAACCGATCGGGAGACTCGACTCTGTCTGTATACCAGACACACGACGGCGACGGAAATATACCCGTTGGTGTGTCAAGATGCATAGACTTGCATATATTGGAACCGATGCATCGAAATTTTATTTTGACCGGCGCGGCGGTCGGTTGGCAGAACACTGCACCGGTTCGTGTGCAAGAGCTCTTAATGCTGGCATATATGAAGGAAATGTTAAAGGTATTTAGATCTTCTACCCTTTGGTGTATTCATTCAAAACTTCAATCAATACTACGATTAAAAAGTGGAACACATTTGTCAGCATACCTACTCTAAACCACGTGTGCTTGTGAAAGCTTTCAACATAGCGCATTTTTACCACCCGTACGTTGGTAAGGGAGGTGTTGCATTGGGACAAAAAATTACCCGCCACTTTTTTCACGGAGGTACACTTTTTGAAGCACCAGGAATCCGAATCAAACAAAGTCAAAATCGGTCTGTCTGTTGGTTACTCCCATTTCCGCCTAAACGGCTGAACCGATTGGAACCAAATTTGGTACACATATTGTTAAACATAAAAGAAAGAACTGAAAATCTTTTCATATTTTTAGCGGGTGCGGGTGGTATTTGTGCTAGCCACAGCAAATTTTTTCAATACATCTTTGCGAGCATATTTGTGGTATAAGGCAATCTAAAGCAAATAAATAAAGGATTATTTTCTCTCTTTTGCTCTATAAAAGGTGTATTTTCCAAAAATTCTTCCTAATTTAGCGGATAAAGCAGACGGATAGGATTTTCGGTAGGGGAATCTTTTTGCCATTGCGGTCGCATTGAAAACCCGACTCCGGGTCATATTCAATAGCACTGATCCTTGAACTCGTAGAAATCGCTTGGCGAAGGTTGGTAATCGCACAGGACGGAACAGGGGAATTTTTTTCTTTCGTAAAATTCCCCTAAAAAGGGCAAAAACGGAGGTATCATCGATGGTACCTATGTAGCAGGAAGTGGTATAAAACTGAAAATTAGTTGCTCGACGTTAGATACTCGGTATCAGTATTTTATTGAAGGGATAATGACATAGTGGGCTGTGTATAGATGAAAATTTTCCTTTGAGCTGTTTCCTTTGTTTCGCTTCAAATTTGGCATACTATTTTTGACATGTCATGGGATGGTTGGTTTGGACCTGGTCTATGATGCTTGTTACTCAGAATCCAACGCCAAAATGTTCCTTGAATATGTGGTTTAAAGTATTTCAGGTATGTGGATTACCGTTTCCTAACTAAAAACAATCGCAATTAATTAGTTAAAAACAATTAATTTATCAAGCACAAGTTTACGATCCTTCGTCCAAATGATTTTTCAAAATGTCCACCAGCGTTCAACATGAATCTAGGGGAGTTAACCATTATTAAACGATCGTCGTAAAACTGTTTGGTATTGAAGAGTGACGTTTGCTGCACCGGCTGCTGCACCATCTTGCTGGAAATACCCTTGTGTCAGTTCGTCATTATGAAGTTTATTCAGGAACGTATTTCCAGTACGCTATTTCTGCACTTTTCCTAGACATGCCAATCTTTAAAGGATGCAATCTGGTTTCTTCAAAATTAGGAGGGTTTACAGTTGCGCACGCGCGATAGACTATTATCATATCCTGATAAATGGACCCATTCGTCACTCATAAAAGTTAGATTTGGACAATGGGCAATCGAAACATTTCGAGATCTTTGTGTACTGTGGCACGTACCATAACATAACAATCAAAGATGTGCCCACTAGCTTGATTCGATATCTGCGAAGTGATTTCTTAGGGCTCTGCTTCATACGTTGTCGTACATCTTCGACGGCTTCCACACTTCAAATTGATGGACGGCGCCTGTTGATTCGGCCTTACATATACACTTTTTATTCTCAAAACGTTGGATGATTCAGTTCTTATGACTAACGTAGGTTTGGTAAATAGTGGTCATAGGATTCGTTAAATTGCTATAAGCAAGACCTAGTGGAACATGACCATTGTACCATCTTCTAAAGTCTAAACGTATTACGTTACGATAGTGGGCCATTAATCTGAATGCATTATGTTCAGGGGCAAAAGCCCTTCTCTAACTAAAAAGTAAAGATATATAAAATGCTTCTGGTGTTTTCTCTTATGTACCTACGTAAAGCAAAATGTTGCACTTAGAAAGAACTTTGAAAAGAACTGTTTGTTTTAAAATGCAAGGTTCGGTATAGAGAATATAAAATTTAAAAAAAACACGAAAAAAAGCCGTCAATCGATTGTTGTTAGGTACTATTGGGACATTTTTTTAAGCACCAAATTCAAATTGTCTGCAGTTCTTTTGGATCACCATTCACCCGGTATACTAATGTTTATCAAATGAGACATTAATGAGTCGTTTTTATAGCTTAATCATTTTGCAAAGTTACATATATGGTAAATGAACCCAACGCGTTTCGACAGCAACGACTCCCAACCGTTGTTATGTAGGGGTGCCATTTAGCTGAACTTGCGCTCATTTATAACGAACGAAAACTCAATTTAAATCTAATTAAGTTGTATGGATGTATTGTTTAAGAGGAAGCTTTTATATTAATGTCTCCACTCCATTATATGGAAGTAAAACGATTCGAATAAAATTTATAATTGTTGTAGTACACAATGTAGATGTAATCTCGTCCGCGCATTGAAATTGTCCGTATTGTTATTATTGTCACAAAGTTTGATTTAAATCATTCGGGATAAATAAGAATGCTCATTTACAACAGGATTATAAATACAATACTTAACAATGGCCTTATTTTTTTCAAATTATTTGATGAGAGATTTCGTTAAATTATACACGCGACTAGAATTTTAATGCGGTTTCCAGTAAAATATTCCATTTTATTTCGATTCAAATAAGGTCGGAGGATATTTCATGGGTATGTGAAAGGCCATTTATCTTTAAAGAAAATTTAAATACATTAGCTTTGTTGTTATATTTGATTTATAACCATTTCCAATTTTCTGTTGTGTTATATAAAAAATTCGCGTTACGCGGGGCGATAATCTTATTATATAATAAATACCCAGCTGACGGATGCATCAAAAAAACAAGACAAATGTACTGTTCTTTCATCTGACATAGAGGGGTCGTGAGAAATGAATAAACGCATCCTTGAAATTTGCACATTAGTTAGCAATCATTAGAAAGTGTAATTGTTTTAACCGGATTAATAATTCCTGTTTATTATTTCAGTTTCCTGGATGTCAAGAGGCCTGCCGTTTCCACGCCGAAGCATCTACGAGGGCGCAGCAAGCTCAACCCGTAATTCACACAAAGGGCGAGGGTGTAATCCGGGTATCTGGTGGGTTAGCAGTTTGGCCTAGGCCGTCATCGTCAAGCACAACTACGCCTCTTATCTACGTAGTTATGCGAAAATCTCAATCTGGCCCTTGGCGTCAAGTTATTCAAACGTTAGATCTCACCACCCGCGTTCCACTAAACTCCGATCAACCCGGGTCGATGTTGCGAGTGCTCGTTGTCGACCCTCAGGGATTAGTAACCATATACAGCCCAGATGAGGCAAGCGTGCGAGACGGTAAAAAGAAAAAGAAAACTATAAACACCGAAATTAAAGCAACGACGAGTAAAAGCACTGGAAATGACCTTATTGAGCCGTGGACGTTAAGAGAAATCTCCCTTATCCACCAGAAAGTTTTAGTGATAGGCGAAATCGCATGGGAACCTAAAGCAACCCGAGGAGTTTATTTAGTAACTTGGGAAGTTGACGGTGGTGGACTTAAGGGAAATTTATTCACCGACTCTACTTGTGTGACCCTGTCCTTATGGCCTGATACTATTTACCACATTCAAGTCGAGTTAGTTTCACGAACACCAGGAGTCGAGAATCTCAAATCGGAAATGATGGATCTAGATACGGGAAGAGCTCAGAAAGTGTCAACTGAAAGTCAAGAGGATCTAAATATGATTCAAGGCGACGTTCGTGAAGACGTTGATTTTAATTCTCCCTTACTCTCTGTGCTCGTTGGTGCCGTACGAGGTGAAAAGTCGATGCACAGATGGCACAGCATGGAGCTCGTTTTAGGATGCAGTGCGGCCATAGTTTTGTTCTCCCTAATTTTATTAGTAACATTCTGGCGGTGTCGGCACCATTCTGCGTTAGATAATCTGATTACTGGATCCACGTCGATACGAAGTCACAAACTCGTAGAAGACTACACCGGATATTCAGGTAAGATGTCATTATTTTAATAACTGTCTGCGTAATGATTGTTTACACGCCACCGTGCATGTCGCTCTCGAGATTCACGCGACAACTAAAAACTGATAATTTTTTATTGCTTGTCTTAACGCACCGGGTTCCCTTTTTTTTATTATTCCGTCCGTAGGAAGTGGAAATATAGCTTTCATTTTTTACGGTATAACAAATTCAGGGGATTTTAAATTTCCGTTGCGGATTTCATATTCATAAAAGCTCGTTAGGTTGTAATACCTCTTTTGCATGCGACTATAACCAAGACGATTCTTTTCAAGACATGCAATTATTTATATTGTTCCCTGCATTGCGCTGTATTTTAAACAATGCATAGAATAAAGACGTAAATTCTACTTAATACATTCTCTTTTCTGATACGTATAAATGATTCCACGTTGAATGCAGTACAACAAACGGTGGAAAATTGCTTACTGTGCTTGGTGCATGTTTATGACCGTCCCATTCTACACGTAATTTTTCATTTTTTACCGTTATCGATTGACGTTGGCGTTTGCCACCGAGAGCTTGCGTCGGATGTCTTGTCTCAAATGCTCAAAGAAGTAGCTTGTACTAGGTTTTAAGTTTCAATTTGCATATATACTCGTAGAAAGCAATTTAGATAAATATTTAAATGAAGTAATCTAGGTTTTCCACGCTTGAATGTCCTAGTAGTCTCGGGTGTGTATTTGCGTGTATAGGCTTTGCTATATTAATCATATAGTCAAGATTTGTAGATATCTGTTCATCAATTTTGTTGAACTGCTGCAAGAATGATGCCGCACGATTTATTTTTATGGCAAGAAAATACATGTCAAAATACAATACATATACAACAAAAACATTCCATGGGATCCCCATTCAGTTGTGGGGTTGAATCTTCGATTTAGTAAATTTGATATTGAACCTTGGTCACTTAAGTACGGACATTGTTTGCCGTGGACTAGCCTATTATTTACCAAATTTTACCTTTTTATGTGGTTTTTGCTTACTGCAGAATTTTCTCTTTACTTCTCTGAAAATTACTACACAATTTTCCAACCCTTTTCCACCTCGTGAGCAAAAAGAACAAAAATACACTAAGTGACACGAAATGTATATTGAAAGAAATTCAATTTTCAAATGGCTACCTTCCTTTACTTAGTACAATGAATTTTTACCCAAAATCCTCCTGAAACCTTTATAATACGTCATTTTGTTAGAACCTTTTACCTTAATCTCTTTTGAAATGGCCACTTCATTTTTTAGTGATAAAAAACTTAAATCCTCAAATTAAACACAATACTGTATATTAATAAACACCTAAAGAGTTTTTTTATTCGCAATCAATGGACCCTTGTATTTGTCTGATTGAACTAGTAAGATTACGGAATAAAAAAATTAAATTAAAAAAAAACCTTGAATTTACATCAATTCAATAAGCTCTTCAAGTTACACATTACAGTTTATGTCAGTTATCGAAAATTGATTGAATCTTTTAATATCAATAAATTAAAGCTTTACGTTTAATTTTATACAAATTCTTTCTACAATGTTTACTTTGAATACATAAACAAAAATAAATGAAACTAACCCTGGACTACAGGTCTTCTCGTTCCTATAAATGATTGATTTTCTTCTAGATACAGCTTGATGGTTATAGTGCAGACGTTTTCTTTCAAGAAAAATGCATTTGGAAAACTCGCGGATAAAGAATTCTGCTGGCAAGGGATTTTTTCTAGAGTACAATTTACTTGAAAAGCTTTACCTGCGTACACTCCGTTTAATGAACTTTGTTACAGTTTAGTGTAATTGGAGAAAATTCTTAATAAGCACATACATCAAAAGATGATTTAAAGACATCTCCCACAATGAGACCGATTGAACTAAATTTATTGTTGAAACTATCGACAGGTTTAGTTACAATGCTGTTTTACGCGATTTAAATATGTATCCCGCGACTTATAATTCGCCACGAATCCGACGCAGTTTTTTCGTTAACGCGAAATGAGGAATTTTCTTGATTCAGTACATTTATTTTCGCCTTCGAATGAAGGTTTGCAATTTTCCACTTCAGAATTTTAATTGCCTCCTCGGTTTAATGTTTGTCCCTTTTTGCAAGTTCTCTTTTAATCGTTTCTCTTAATATTATACTTTAGATTTTATACTTTAGATTCAGATGAACTAACAACTCCATAGAGTTCCATTCACAAGGAGTGTTATATATTCATGGAGGGGGTATGGGTGGGTCCGGCGAATTGCCGACTACGGAACCGAGTAGAAGTGCCAAACTGCCCAAAGTGCTGGGAATTGCACGACAAAGGAATGACACAAACAAAAAGAACCGGTGCTTCAACTGCGGCCAGGAAGAGCAATTCAAGAAAAACTGCAGTAACCCCAAACGATGCACCATGTGTGAGGGAGACGCAAACCTATGAAGCTAGTCAATCGTGAGTCATAAGCGGGTTGTGTAACTAAATAACTAAATACTCGTTATATAATTTTTTCACTATCTGTGCGTTGGTCCAATACCTATATATAAGGTTTTAATGTGTATCACGAACATCCTTAGTGTTTTGCAGTTTTGTATTTATATATCCTGGATATATACACATATAACGGAAGGATACTGAAATACATTTATTGTAAACATTACATTATACAAACGCGTGAGCTCTTTGACTTGCGTTACGCGACTGGTGCAAGTTTGCTATCAGATACCAATTTCCCAAATACATATCATTCCTCCCTCACATAACATAAGTTATTTATTTGCGAACCAGTCAGGAGGTTTTCTGTTTCTGGTTGGGCGCAACATACTTTTAGAGTTAGTTACTGCAAAATCATCTGAAATTGTTTCAGCTTCCCTAATTGGTTCCGGAGAACTAGCCTTTCCAACTGCAGATTCCTCTACTACATCATCGTTAACATCATTAACATTTGCATTTGAATCAACAGTCAAAGGACGTGAATAATAATCTAATAAATCATCATCATCGTAAGAAGGTCCTTTGATTATTTGATCCGAATGTCTTCTCCAGATAAAGTTTTCGTTAGTTAATGTCTTATAGTTTCGAGGTCCGTTTTGTTCTACAATTTCTGCAGGTACCCAACTCGGTTTAGCACGTCGATAGTCGCGCACAAAAACACGATCACCTTTTTTAAAATTGCCTCTCGCACTCACTTTATTACGTTTCACTCCCGAACTGTTTCTTGTTAGTCTCCTCGGATCTCTCCCTCGTTTCTCTTTACGCAAATGCTGCCGCTTCAGCTGCTCTTCTGGTAAAATGAGGTCCAACCGCATGCGTAGCTTTCTTCCTGTCAAGAGTTCAGCTGGAGTAACACCCGTACTACTGTGAATGGTGTTCCTGTAGTGCAATAGGAAACGGTTTAATGCAGCGAAAAGATCTGTGGATTTCCTTTCTTCCATGGCCCTTAATATATGAGTTTTTACAGTACGTACCGAAACCTCTGCTAAACCATTTGTGGCAGGATGATATGGTGGTGGTGTAATATGCTGAATTCCATTCATATATAGAAAATGCTTGAAACATTCCGACACGAATCAACGTCCCTTATACGATCTTTGGCAATCCCCACCGACTAAATAATTCGCGTAGCTTATCTATTGTATTTT